TTCTCCGTCTTGTATTACATGTCCTTTTTTTCGCATATTTATCAGATCGTACCCAGCGATTTGGATGTCAATCATGCCCTCTGAGGCCAATGTCCATGACAACACATGAGCACGGGTCCGTAATCAGGAGGCGTAATGCCTGCCGCTCATAGGCGAATAGCAAACGTAGGGAGGATAACCTGATCCTTGGCCATATGGTTTTCAGACGGTGTTAGAGAATCATTGTTTGAGTCAATGATGGAAACAACCATGAAGTTTATTGACAGCTTTCATCCAAAGTTGGCAGGAAGAGAGACTTAATATTTTATTTCTCAAAACCTCGTCTTTCACACACACACACACACACACACACACACACACACACACACATTATGTGTGTGTGTGTGTGTGTGTGTATTTGGGTGGCAATCTTTCATAAGATATGTTTCGTTGAATATGACAGTGAAGAAAAATTTAATTTTTTATTTCGTTTTTCCAGCGTTCTTACACTTTTTCGTTTGGTGTGTGTGTGTGTGGGGGTGTGGGGGTTAACGTAGTGCAAAAATTGTCCGCATTGACCCTTCACCCAAACGCTTTTGCCCACTTATTCAGCCATTTTTAAACACGCTCCTAAAAGTATTCAAAACAAACCACAAAAAAATCCATCTTAAACAGTAAAACATGAAGAGAAATTAAGAACACCTAAACAAAACCTCATTGGAAAGAAAAAAAAAACATACATGTATATATATATGGATAAAGACAAATAGAAAACTTATCATAGCCGACACATTATGTATATATATATATATTGGCATTTATCTATTTTTTATTTATTTTTAGAAATTATATTGTGATTGTCATTAAGGGGCTTCAAATATATATATATATATATATATATATATATATATATATATATATATTATGCAGTGTTGCATTAGAACATGCATAAACCCACTACAAAACTGTACATCTTGTTTCAACGTTAAAATTTTTTTTCATGTTTCATCAGGTGGGAAATCACCATGCTACTAAAATATTTTATTTTATTCTGAAATGCAGTTAAAGAAGTATATCTTTCATGTCCGTCGTTGAAAAGTTTACCATAGAAGGTAAAAAGTATTTACATGTAGAGAAAGAAACGAAGCTAAGTGATTAGTAACAGTGAGAGAAGGAAAGAAATAAAAAAAGAAAGATGAGAATTAAGAGAAAAAAAGGCTAAGAAAAGTAAATAAAGTTTGTAATACGCTTGTTTTGATCAGAACTCGGAGTGTTTAGAGGAGAATATATAATATGGCATGATCCCCAATTTGAACAAAGCTAGTACACTCAAAGCTTCGGTCACGTTGACTTAGTGCTAACACAACCATCGCCGACATCCGAAAAGTTTCCTTTACCAAATTCCGCTTAAAAGCATAGTTTAAACCATGGTATGATTTTCAAATAACCTTCAACGGTACCGCTTGATGGGATCACATTTTCGTTCTAATAACATCAAAAAGTAAGTTTTGTTGACATTCGAACCTGGGTTTTATGGTCAGAACACGTGCATTCTAACCACTTGGCTATCAGTAAGTCGCGGCCTAATGAATACAAAGAAACATTTTACCTCACACACAATATTATTATTGATATATAAAAATATATACCGTTATTAAATATATCTCTATGCCTACTTCACAGAATCTAAACTTTGTATTTGCAACAGCATGTCTGCAGTGAACGCGTCTAAAGTATCAATTTATCTAGACATGAATTTATAACCCACCTACCTCCACCTACTGACGCTTATTTTTCATTTTTCTATTTTAGATTTCATCCGTCTTTTGATTGGTTAATCCAGACATGCCCACAAATGTATTTATTTGGAATTGTGGTCCCCCTCTTTTTTTTAACTCTCAAATGAGCTACCGAATTATTTTCTGATTTTCCAAGTAAATTATTTTCATCATAAGTTATCTAACATCGCCTGATAAGGCACAATTTTTGTTTCCTTGTACCACGGTGATGGTCCATGGTAGAACCAATAAAGAAGAACTCGAACACAGATATGGAATAACACAGATATATTACAAACAGGAATATATACAGAGAAGTAGAAAGTGTTAGTATGAACAATCAGGTTTAGTAGGGAGAACAATGTAGTCTCGACCAGTATCACTATTCCAATGTCTTGTAGTAATTGTCGGAACGCGACTCTGTTTCGGACTGCCTCTGACTCGACTGACTGACTCGCTCGCTCTGACTGACTGACGAACTTCTGACGGACTTCACGCCAGACTTCAGACTGTACGCTGGGATTGACCTCGATCCATTCCGATAACACCAGGAAGTTTCCTTCCTGACAAATCGACCATGGTGAGATTCGAACCCGGGTCTCATGGTCAGAATGCGAACGTTCTAACCACTCGGCCACGTTACATATGTAGTCCATCTTGTAATGGCCACAGTAACAAGAGCAGTCTTAATATTGTGCGTATGAGTACGTAACATCAAAACAAATATGATTGCCACCATAGAGCATAGGGATATGTAAATATGTAGAGTCTTGCAAATCCTGGAGTAAAAATCTAACAGAAAGTGACCGTGAATTATATTACTGTGAAAATGTAATAAGAATGAAGCGGCTATTGGTTTGGTATAGCGCATTTAGTGATGTGCGTGTAAATCTGCATGACATTTAGAGCGTCTATGTTCATCAATAACATTAAATTACATCTGAAGGCTATGAAACTTGATCTTTCTAACTCGCTGATCTATTAGATGAGCAAATGTTTAATCATAACGACATTTCTACTCAACTTTTGGAATGGTATTACGAACTGATGAGTTACATTCTGGAGTACATGGTCATAAAACATGTAACCTGCGTATAACAAATCCCACCGGAGGCAAAGAATATATCTATGAACTGGAGCATCCATCATCACCGTCCCTTCCAGCAGAATTAAAAGTTCAATACTAAATGAAGAACTTAATAGTAACCGTTTTCAAGTATACGAAACAGTATAGTGTTCATGGACTTCATGCCGCTTGGACATAGATTTAACACGGCTAGATGCTTTGAAATATTTCACTGATTGAAAGAAGCTGGTCGTCGACCAAAGACAACGAAGTTTGCATAAGTGGCATCCTGCTGGATCTCAACGCCACCAAACAAACGGCCAACTTGAACAAAAATGTGAGTGGGCCTGGCGGTATCGTTGGGATGCTTTACTGAATCCACCACACAGACTTGATATCATCTGATTTGGCTTTTCGAGCAACAAAACAATAAGCTGTTTTACACTGATGACATTGTTTTTGCCGGTGTGCAAAGGTGTCTCCATTCTCTTAACGAAACTTTCTTGGCAGAGTGTGTTTATTGACACGTGCATCAATGAGAGAAATGCATCAGATTCGGTGGAGACATAATAGAGCCAGTACCATGTGTGCAACGTTTATTCCATAGATCAATCTTGTTAATATTTCATATTAAAAAGATCTATTTAGATTATCCTTAACACTTATAGATTTGATATTATGATATATATATATATATATATATATATATATATATATATATATATAGATAGATAGATAGATAGATAGATAGATAGATAGATACTATAATAATATTACTATAATGATATTGAAATCCGCTTCTCAGAAAATCATGCAATAATAATCAGCAGTTTGATGCTTGTTATTAAATGAAAATCTGAGTAGCGAATGTTGATATTATTGCATTAATGATATTATTATAATATATTATATTTAGGATCTGTCAACTTTGACATACAGCGTTCAGTTTATTTTATACGAGCTTAAAAGCCACTTTCTTAATTTTAAGCTAGTTCCCGTGGAGAGCTAACTGAGCCTCCGACCCAAAACTAAAGAGACCTCTGATCCAGCTTAGAAGACAGCAATGATAATTTTGAAGAAATAACTTATAAACTAAAGATCCATTTGGGCTGAAAGTCCGATTTGGGCCGAAATTCCAACTCAGGTCAAAAATTGTGTTCTTCAAATCACAAACTCCGTAGAACATAACATAACGTAAGCATAACGTCACGAAACCTCTTACAGTAACTCTGATTATTTTGAAGAAATAAAATTAATTTACTCAATTCACAAACTTTTGGAAATATTTTAAACGAAATGTAATACATTTTTTTTTTTAATTCATAAAGTTTTTGTATTACTATAAACACAATATAAATTAAAAACTTTTAAAATCACTATTTTTTTTCAGGTATCATAAAATTTGAATTTTTAACACTACCTCTTTGTCCGGACGCAAATCCCAATGCTGGATGTTCAAGCACCATTTGAAGAGCCAATTTTCTGATTGGGGTCATTCTGATTCTAAACAGATATATGTGTACATAAAGCAATTTAACCCGAGATAGAGGGGGGGGTTCAAACACATAGACAGAATTTGCCGTTTATTTACATTTTATGATTTTAAGCTTTAAATTATTCGTAATATCTTACTAGCTCCCCCCTCTCTCTCTCTCTCTCTCTCTCTATATATATATATATATATATATATATATATATATATATATATATGTGTGTATGTGCGTGTGCGTGTGTGCGTGTTCCTGTCCAAAAAGCGATACCTAAATGTACCCGACATCTTCCTTTATTACTATCTATCTATCTATCTATCTATCTATCTATCTATCTATCTATCTATCTGTATTCTGTTCAATACTATGTATCTATCTGCTCCGCTTTCTTTCTTTCTTTCTTTCTTTCTTTCTTTCGTTACTATCTATCTATGTAGCTATGTATCTATCTGTTCCACTCTCTTCATTAGTATCTATCTATTTATATTTACTCTATTCTGCCCATTACTATCTATCTATCTATCTATCTATCTATCTATCTATCTATCTCTTCCATTCTGTTCTATACTATCTATCTATCTGTTGTTGCACTCTTAATTTTATTTGTTATTATACAGGGTAGTGTCGGGTGGTGCAATCTGTGATATCATTTTAGGTTTGGGTGGCTTGATCTGAGATATGGTTGACATGAATTCCAAGCGACAATATTTGTTCATTTCGACAATAAACATTTCCTTGCGTCTATTTTTCTACGAACGAGCGTCAGGCTTTTTTTGTCGTTGTTGTTTCTTTCATGCGTTTCTCTTCCTCTTTCTTCTTCTCATCCTGGTTCTCCTTTCATTTCTTTCTTTCTTTTGTTCCTTCACTAGTTTCGTTTGCATATTTTTCATTTCTACTTTTCTACCCTGTTCATATCATTGCTTTTCCTTCATTTTCTTGTTTTTTACTTTTTTTGCTTTGCTGTTCTTAACTTGATTCATTCGCTTTTTTTTCATTTCTTCTTCTTTTCTTTATTAACTGTTTTCCCATATTTCTTTTTCACTTTCTCATTTTTCTTTTATTGTAATTTTTTAGTTTATTCTTCTTCCTTTTTCTCTTTCCTTTTATTGCATTTTTATTCATTCTTTTAAATTTTGTTCTACGGCTAGTTTCCTTCTTCTTTTAAGATTATCTTCTTCTTCTTCTTCTTCTTCTTCTTCTTCTTCTTCTTCTTCTTCTTCTTCTTCTTCTTCTTCTCCTTCTTCTTCTTCTTCTACTTCTTCCGCCTCCTCCTCCCCCTCCTCGTCTTTTATTTCTCTTCTTCTTGTTTTTCTTCTTCTTCATTTCATGTTTCAATCCCCCCTCTCTCTCTGTCCTGTTAATCCTTTTCCTCCTCAGTCTAATATTTATCCATATTTTTCCTTGGTCTCTTTTCTCGCTTTATTTGCTTTTCCAATTTCTAACCTGTTTCCTTCATCACAACCGTCTCATTAAATATTCTTTTGTATTTTCCCGCCCATTTTTTTCTTTCTCTATTTTTCTCTGTCTCGCTCTTTCTTTCTCTCTATCTCTCTTTCTTTCTCTTTCTCTCTCTCTTTCTTTCTTTTCCATTCTACTTTTTTTTACTTCTTTAATTCTTTCTGACTTTTGCTTCGTTGCACTTTTTTCACACCACCTTTGATATCACGTTTAGTTACAAGCCACGCCTTCTTAAAAACAACAAGCCATACATACAGTTTCATGTCAAAAGTTAATAGATACCTCTAATCTCAAACAACTACTTTTCTTCTATGATCTATTTTAAATATTATAAAATATCAAACAAATAGTAAATTGTGTCACTATTAACATATTTCAAGACAGTTTGAAGCATTCAATTGATCTGCTATCTCCTCTTTTGGGATATCCGACAAAATTGAAATCAATAGATGATCATGAGGATACATGTGAGGATAGGGGACTCGACCATCAATGCCACAATTCTCAAGTATATTTAGATTAATGGCCTGGCATTCTATCAACCAAGACAATATAAACAAATAATCATCACGCAATATTGGGATGGATCGATATTTATTTTCCTAATCGATATTCCTATGCACAATGGAGATTTTGAGACAAACAATGTTCAAAATTGATCCTTGCATCATAATCGCAATCTAGTTTTGTAAGATGAAGATGGTTCAAATAGAATTCTTAGCGAGGCAATCTCCAGACCAATATCTTTCAAAAAAAAAAAAAAAAAAAAAAAAGGAAGACATATTCCATAAGGTAATAGTTTGTCAAAATTCTAATTGTCTGTTTGTTAAACTAATTTCGATATATTCTAAACTTATTTCAGTAATAGTAATTTCAGATAGCTCAAATCGTGTTTTATTAGTGTTGTGGGGCTCTGCTCTTTTTACATAAGATGGACTCGTCCAAAGTATACTTATACTGACAGAGAGAATACCTGCTGTTGAGATACGTGGAGATACGTTCAGATACATTGAGACAGGTTGAGAGATACGGAGACAGACACAGGGTGTTCTCAGAGAGTTATACAAGACTCCAGAGAGAAAGAGAGAGAGAGAGAGATGACTACGGCTTTACTTACAGAGACTTGTACATATACTTTCTACTAACCCGCATTCCTGGACTACTAATCTTCACTTCAAGTCTGTATTCTTACGTTTAATACACTTATTTTTCTATCTCAATTACGGGCGTTATTTAGTTATTTGTGCAGGATTCCATTCACGGAATCCACAACAACTTGGCGACGAGGATTTCTCACTTCACGGGGACTTAAAAAAAAATTGCCGTTGCCAGCGTCCACAACAACTTGGCGACGAAGAAAAAATTTATGATAAAGAAAAGATTACAAGGTATAAGGCGATTAATGACAGATATCAAAGCAAATATAAGCACCCACTATTTGCATGTTACAGATGTGGTGGATTCCATTCACGGAATCCACAACAATTAGTGAAATGTCTCCTGAATCAATTCAGAGTTCAAAATGGAATTCCTAGTTCAAAATCCAACAAAAAACATTCACTGAGAATACGATAAACTTGGAGATGGCTGTACCATTATTTCAACCGGTGTTTTATATTAAATTTTTAAAAAAAGTTAAATAATAGTGTCGAAAGAGATTTTCTAATGTTCTATTTCTATCTGAATTTCTAACTCTTTTGTTTCCCGTCTGTAGTTTCCTATCTTCCTCTTTCTATAGCTTACCCTCTCTAATCCATGGTATTCCCTTTTCTTAGAAAATACTCTCTCTTTCTCTTCTTTTCTAACTCTCATTTTCTTTATCTCTTTCGTTCTTACTCCGTCACACACTTTCATAGTGTTTCTTTCTCTCTGTTTGACCCACTCACCTTCTCGGTCTCTGTCTTTCTGCTTTTGCTTCTTTGTTTCTCACTTTAATTCTAATCATCTCTCTCTCTCTCTCTCTCTCTCTATATATATATATATATATATATATATATATATATATATATATATATATATATATATGACAGGTAGAGTAGTGTAAGAATCATTCTCAAACCATTTTACAAGATCTGTGAAAAATCACCGTACGCTAGATTGTGGAGAAAGGCTTCTTGGTTGGGCCGATAACTTTTCAGTAAAATGAATACCGCCTGCGATAATAGGTTGTAGAGGTTGTAGAGAGACTTTCCTAAAAAGCTATAGTTTTTTTATTTGCGTTGTAACAATAATTCTACAGTTTGGCAAAAATGGTGTCAGACATGAAAGTTCGTAGGTATGTCATGAGGAAAATTGACGTTTATTGGCATTTTAGCATTTGGAAACCAAAAAGTGCATGTGAGCACAGTAAGGTGATGCGTAATGTTTTCAGTGAGAAAATGAGTTGCTTCTGCAGTTGTTAAATTTTACTATCAAGGCACGCAAGCTGTTATTTATTTCCTTTGAAAATGCATAGACAATTGTAGTGCTTTTGGTTAAACGTATTGTTTTGTAGCTTGAATATATCTGTCTATGGATATAAATAAGAAGTATTAGTACTAATTATAATATGCTCCATATATCTATCTATCTATCTATCTATCTATCTATCTATATATATATATATATATATATATATATATATATAGTGCATCAGTTTTCTTCCAGAAAATATGCATGAATTTAAAAACAAATGTATAGCACATGCAAGGAAATATTTATTTGAAAATAGATTGGCGCAAATAACATTGAGAATCATTTTTTCTCATCTATTCAAGGAATCTACCTTTATTATTGATGGCTGCTTCGATAATGTTTCGGAAGCATTGCCCAAATCAAAGTTTATAAGAATCATTTCATACCCCCAAATAAGTTATATCAATTCACCCCCCAAATAAGTTATATCAATTCACCCCCCAAAACTATAAATTTTAAATCAAACTTTGTTCTTTTTATTAAATTTTTGGCACTATTTTGAAATTACAAGTTTTAATCAAAATTTGTTTAGTTTGCATGAAGTTACTGGAATTAATATGAAGAATGCAACGAAAACGGAAGAGTGGCGTTTTCGCTTTTTACATCGAGTAAATATTCTTCAGATTGCTAGAAAGGATATACAACTTTGAAGGATAATCCCAATTATATTCATCTGACTGTAAATCACAATATGAATTTCGTTAACCCAGAAACATTAGCTCACACGCAAACAATCGAAATGAAGAGTAAGTCCATGTTTAGACTCCTATTTGTGTGGGTTCGTTTGGAAACGCAAGGCAAAAAAAATTACAATGAATGTATTTTTGAACAAATTTTAAAGGACATTTCTGATTTTTGGTGTGCATTTTAATAAATATAAATTCTTCTTATTTTGGGTTAAATTAATCTTTTGGGGTGAATTAACCGAAAAGATCCATTTATCAATTTTGGACATATTCTTGTTTCTGACGGGTTTGAGAGATGGTGTTATAAGACCTGTACCTCGATTACGTCTCATACGTAATAGTTTAGTGGGTTCAAATCTGGTGAGGTAGGATACCGTGTGTTTGCGAGAACCTGACCCTGAAGATTCTCATGCACCACTGCTTGGGTTGATTTAAACTTAATGCAGAGTCTTGTCGGAAGACGTATTGATTTACGTTAATTACACTGTCTAGCCCTGGCTTCACAACCCAACACATCTTGAGAGACAGCAGAATTGTCCCTTAAGCCCTCAAAGAAGAAGTAACTTACAGGTGTTGGGAAATTGAAAACTCAGTCGAGCCGAACCATATGTCATTCTTTTGGCTTACCCTTTGATCCTGACCAAAGTTTTTTCTCACTGAAGTAAAACCAAAACATTCCCGCCTCTTGCTGTTTTAGTTTATTTAGCAAGCTCTTTGCACGGATCAAACGAAATTCTCTTGTCTGTTCCGACATGAATTGACTTCTCCACTTCACATACGATTTTTACCAGCTGTCCTCCTTCACAGCTCTTCTGATGGCGCACTTTGACATCTTGAGGCACATTGTATTGATTGACCTTCTGAGACACTTATCGATTGTTTTCTGGGCCTTTCATACCAACGTAGGTTTTTTTATGGTAATTAGATCATTAGCATGTATTTAACGTTGAGCTGCTGCTATTGAATCCCCATCAGCATATTCCAGTCCCTTTGTAAAGAAAGATCGGAAAACTTTCAGGAATTAGCTCTCGTTGTATCACTGTTTTGCGCTTTTAAAGGCAACGATTACAGTGTACCTTTTCATGTGCTGAGTCAAGTGGAGGCTGGACCATGTTTATCGGAAAAGAGAAGGTAATAAAAATAACCTCGAAGAAAGAGCTCCTGAAAGATGTATCCTCAAAATTTGACGCCCCATGCACATACACACACACACACACACACACATATTTATTATTTGAAACTTTATTTTTAGTGGACACCCATATTTGAGTAAACGCTCCGTTTATTCAGTATTTATTTTGTCTACCAGCTTTTTACCCTCCTGCAGAATCCGTTTAAAATAAACTGAGTGTCTACGGGTATCCAATAAAAATAACGTATGAAGAAAAAAAAATATGTCGTGTTAAAAAATAAACTCCGTGAATTCTTCAGAAATTGCTTTATTTATGTTTCGAATACGAAACTGTGTAGATATCCTTTTCGAGAAATATCTGAAAAAGTGAGTGTGCTTTAAAGGCAAAATAGAAGCGTGCTTGATTGTGAAGCTCTTCGTAACCGAGCGGTAAAAACATTTAGAATCAGACACTGGTTCATCTTACCAAAGGGGAGGCCATCTCGAATCCTGCTGGAGGACACATTTTCTCAACTTCGCAGGCCGACAAAAGAAATAAATACTGTTTAAAATAAACGGAACGGCTACTAAAATACGAGTATCCACTAAATATAATGCTTGTAGTAATATATATATATATATATATATATATATATATATATACCCCACACACACAGAGGGTGCGATGGATAAATTATTGTCTAATTTATTTTAAAATAACACTGACATATTATTTTAATAGATATATTTACCAAAATTACACAACAATATCTTGATATACTAAAGAGTAAATTTACTCAATAAATTCGCCATTGATTTCAACCACGGCCTCCAGACAACTTCGGAATCTCTCGCAACTCTTCTGGACGGTCTCCTTGTTTAAGTTCGTGAATGCTGCCAAAATCCTTGCCTTCAGGCCATCTTTGGCGTTAGAAGGATTTTGTTGGTCTC